CTGGGGTGGAGGGTCCGCGGGCAGGGGCTCAGGTCCCCTCCATGTCCGCAGCCTGCAGGCTCTGGCGGGAGCGCCGTCACCACCCCTCCTCCGCTCGTGCGGGGCACCCAGAACATTCCTGCTGGCAAGACGTCCCTGCAGGTGAGCATTCCTGCCCATGGGCAGGCGGGAGGCCAGTGACACATCGGTGCGCGTGGAGCCATGCCGGGCGCTGTGCTGAGAGACCACGGCTGCCCCATGCGGGGTCGGGCAGGCCCCCCCGGTCCTGGCCTGGCCTGGCCGCTGTCCCCCCTCCGCGGCCGTGCCCGGGCAGCCGCATGCACGGAAGGGGCTGACGGTCTGTGTCGTTGACAGACCTCCGCGCGCGTGCCAGGCAGCGTCATCCCGCCGCCCCTGGTGCGGGGTGGGCAGCAGGTGTCCTCCAAGCTGGGGCCGCAGGCCAGCCCGCAGGTTGTCATGCCCCCGCTCGTCAGGGGCGCCCAGGTGAGCGGGGCCACGAGTGCGTGCGCACACGCATGGGCATGCGTGGGCAGGGGGCGTGCGTGGGGGGCAGGCGTGCGTGGGGGAGGGGCGGCGGGTGGGCACCCTTCTGTGTTTGGTCTCAGTAGGCTTCTCGTGCCCCCTCCCTGCAGCAAATCCACAACATCAGACAGCATTCCGCCACCGGCCCACCGCCCCTCCTCCTGGCGCCCCGGGCCTCCGTGCCCAGCGTTCAGATTCAGGGTCAGAGGATCATCCAGCAGGGGCTCATCCGTGTGGCCAACGTCCCCAACACCAGCCTGCTCGTCAACATCCCACAGGTGAGGGCCCTGGGCATGACCAGCTGAGCCCTGGGAGCCGTGGAGGTCCCAGTGCCGGTGAATGGAGGTTCTTGGCAGCTGCTGGGGCAGGGCAGATGAGGGTGGGGTCTGCTTGTGGCCACACGGCTGTGGGCAGGGAGTGGTGGTGACGAGGCGTCCCGCGGGCCTCGCCCCTCCCCGGTGGGGCGGCACGCACAGCAGATGTTCCCGCACGCTCGCTATTCTTGGCCACTTGTCCCTTCACCTTTGCACAGAGCCCGGGCGGGGAGGGTCTGCCCACCCCCTGGCCATGGGTGGCTGGAAGCCAGAGCTTGCGTGGCAGAGGAAATTGCTGGGTGTGCAGGCCCTGTGCTGACGTGCGTGCTCACCGAGGCTGCCCGCTCTTGTTATGGTCCAGCTCGGCTCAGTGCAGAGGGGACTCGTCCCGCATGCCAGCCCGTGGCCCTGCACACTCAGGTCCCTGCCCGCGGGGGGCGGGGGGCACAGGTGCAGCCGGCTGCGCTTTCCTGGGTGGGCCTGACCCCTCCGAGCCCCGGGGAATGTGCTCGAGTTTCCAGAAGGGGAGACTTCTGTGCGAGCGTGGGGTGAGAGGGCGGGTCGGGCTGCTCTCCCCGCAGCCAGGGCGCCACCAACACCGGGGCGTCCACGTCCCAGTACAGCCGGGGCCCATGGGTGCCCCCACCACCTCAGCACCGGCCCTGTGTCCTGGTGGGCGTGCATGCGACACCCAGGGAGCCTGACCGGCGGTCGTCTCCCCAAAGCCCACCGCAGCGTCGCTGAAGGGAGCGTCGGGCGCGGCGGCTCAGGCCGGCCCCACGCCCAGCAGCGTGGCCTCGGCGGTCGCCTCCGCTGAGTCTCCGGCCAGCCGCCAGGCGGCGGCCAAGCTTGCCCTGCGCAAACAGCTGGAGAAGACGCTGCTGGAGATCCCCCCGCCCAAGCCCCCCGCCCCCGAGATGACCTTCCTGCCCAGTGCTGCCAACAACGAGTTCATTTACCTGGTGGGCCTGGAGGAGGTGGTGCACAACCTGCTGGAGACCCAAGGTAGGGGCGGGCGGAGTTCCTGCACCGCCCTGACAGGTGGGGACAGTGCCCTGGGTCCTGCCCGGAGTCCCTGCTCATGGCCATGTCCCTCCCCAGCAGGCCGGCTGCCAGTGGCCACGCCCGTGCTGTCCCGAGAGCCATACACCTGCGCACAGTGCAAGACAGACTTCACCTGCCGCTGGCGTGAGGAGAAGGGCGGGGCAGTCATGTGCGAGACATGTATGACGTCCAATCAGAAGAAGGCTCTCAAGGTGGAGCACACCAGCCGCCTGAAGGCCGCCTTCGTCAAGGCCCTGCAGCAGGAGCAGGAGATCGAGCAGCGCCTGCTGCAGCAGGGGCCCGGCACCGGGCCCCCCAGCGCCAAGGCCGAGCCCGCCGCCCCGCACCCCGTGCTGAAGCAGGTAAGAGGCCCCGTGCCCGCCTCCCGCTCCCGGCCTCTGCTTTGCACCGGACAGTGGCGCCCTGGCAGCTGCGACCCTAACCTGTGCTTTCTCTAGGTCCTGTGCTTTCTCCGTGGGGCGGCGCTCATGGGCCGCGTGTGCGTGGCAGGCACCAGCCACGCTCTTGTTTTAAGGTTGTCTTCCTCGCCCGCTGACCCGAAGCTGCAGTGTGCACTTTGTCTTGGCTCAGGTGTTGGGAAACCACTAAACCTGTTTCCTCGAGGTCCCGAGCGTCTGAGGCAGCAGGTGGCGTGGATGGCCGGTCCCAGCGGCCCGTCCTCCCTGACCCATTTCCACCCGTCTGTAGGTCACAAAGCCCCGGCGGAAGCTGCCGTTCCGCTCAGGAGAGGCCCGAGGCTGGAGTAATGGGGCGGCGCTACAGGTCAGCACCCGCCGGCGCCCGGCCACCCGCGATCGCCAGTCACCGACTGCCCGACGCTGCCCACTGCCGCTCTCCCCCGCTGTAACCGCCCTGCTCTCAGGACCCCGTGTGGGTGGGCGCCTCGCACGGCCGCCCCCGCACCCCCTGACCCACCCCTCTCTCTCTCTCTCTCGCCCTGCAGGCCTCCAGCCAGCTGGCCCGGGGCTCGGCCACACCCCGGGGTGTGCTCCACACGTTCAGCCAGTCACCCAAGCTACAGAACACCGCCTCGCCCACCGCCCTGGTGAGCAGGACCGGCAGACATTCCGAGAGGGGCTCGGGTCGGGGCGCGGCCTCCAGCTGGAAGAAGACTCCCCTGAGCACAGGTGCGTCCCGCTGCGCCTCGCCCCACGGGCAGATGGGAGCTGGGGGGGGGGGGTCTGGCAGCACCAAGGGCCTTACGTTGCCCAGATGGTCTCCCAAGCAGCTGCAGCGATTTCCAGGTTTAAGCACGGCCTGGGGGGTGTGGGCCACAGGTGGAGGCTGTCAGCCCCAGCCGGCGTCCTGCCACGGAGGCTGGGCAGGTGGGCAGGCAGTGGGGCTGGGCAGGCAGTGGGGCTGGACGTGTGTTCCGGCAGCAGGAGGCACACACGAAGCAGCTGGCTTGGGATGTTGCAGAGAATGGAGTAGGTGGCCCTGGCCAGCATCCAAGCCCAAGTTACCCTAAGCTGGGCTGGGAGGTTTTGGGGTCTGCTCAGCTACAGACTCTACTTGTGGGCTGGGCGCTGGTGGCTCACACCTGTCACCCCAGCTATTCAGGAGGCTGAAATCTGAGGATCCTGGTTCAAAGCCAGCTTGGGCAGGAAAGGCCATGAGACTCTATCTCCGGTGAACCACCAAAAAGCTGGAAGTGGCGCTGTGGCTCAAATGGTAGAGCGCCTGTCTTGAGCACAAAGAGCTCAGGGGACAGCATCCAGGCCACGACTTCAAGCCCCACTACCACCAGAACTCCCTGTGGGGGATTGGCGTGTGGGTCCCGTGGCACTTGGGCCTGGCCTCAGGCCCACACCAAGCTTTCTTTCTGCACGTGGGCTGTGGCTGGCCACGGGGGGGTGGGGGTAGGAGGGCGAGTCTGGGATTTCCGGCCCAGGCTGGCTTCGAGCCCCAAAGTCCTGTGGTTGGGATGACGGTGTAGATTGCGGATTTCAGTGGCGTAGTGGTGATGTCGGGGGGCCCATGAGCAGGGTGCCCCCCTGGTCAAGTCCCTGGTCCCCTGCCCCGTGCCCCCCTCGGGCTTGTCCAGAGCCAGGAGGCCTGAGCTCTGGCCTCAAAGGAGCGGGGGCGGCGCTGTGGCCACAGGGCCCGCGTGGGCCGGGTGCTCCGCACGTCCTCACCAGCCTCGCGTCCGCGGCTCCTTTGCAGGGGGTACCCTGGCCTTCGTCAGCCCGAGCCTGGCTGTGCACAAGACCTCGTCCGCCGTGGACCGCCAGCGAGAATACCTCCTCGACATGATCCCCCCGCGCTCCATCCCCCAGTCGGCCACGTGGAAATAGTGGGAGCCAGGCCCCGCGGGGGCCACTCGCCCCGCCCCGCCGCCCGGGCGCGGCGTCGGACAGGACCAGAACTGACGGCCTTCCCGCGGGTCCCCTCCCTCCTCTTTGCCTTTAGTTCGCCCGACACCAGCAGCAGC